AACAAAAAATATTAAATCGCAAGTTGAATCAGCATCCGCTAAAAGAGTAAAGAGAATGTCAGTTTCTGATGATCATAATGAAGTTGAAACAGATACTAAATCGTAAGTTGAACCAATATCTGCTAAAAAAGTAAAGAGAATATCAGTTTCTGATGATCATACCAAACTTGTGACTCATAATGAAGTTGAAAAACATATCTTACCTCATAGGTCAACCCATAAAAAGAGAACTTAATAAAAATTAAGTAGTTAAATTTATATATTCAGATATTACTTTAACCTTTATTATATGCATTATTTTTAATAGAGCAGTAAGTAACTAATATATATGCAAATTTTATATACAATTGTATCTTATATTATATACAATTCGTAGTAAAGGCGTTAATATGTAATGTAATTAATTTGCATATTTAACATATATTTTATATATATTTTATATATGATATTAGTATCAATACACTTCAATTTGCAAATAAAATAATGATGAAAATTATATTAAATATTGATAAAAATTAAATAAAATATGTACGAAAATTTGTTTAGATAATGTGAATTTGGGCTTATTTTTCATTACATATAACGTATATATCATGAACAATAAATATTGAACATTTTTTATACATTTAATAGACAATATTTTTTCATAGGGCTGTTGTATACTCTGAGGAGTAATTTCACAAGGCAGTAAATTACCATTAAGCATCGAATTTTCTGAAAATGCTTTTAATAAAGAATCTGTAGAATATTAAACGTTACATTATGGCATGAAAAAAGTGTTAGGCGTAGTAGTGGGTTTATTAAAGGATAGGGCATGTGCAGAAGATGATTCTCCCTCAAAGAAAAGGCTAGAATAGAGGAATATCGTTCGAAAAAATAAGCGTGTATAATAATAGCCTGCAAACATATCATAAAAACGTCATGTATTACAGGCAAAGTTCTGAACCTTTATATTTATTTTTTGTATGTATTAATAAACTTTCTGAACTGAGTTCAGGAAAAAAAAGCACGTGATCATTTTAATTTGAAAAGAGAAAACCTATCAAATAAGCTATTGGATCAAAAGAGGAATATATTATCTCCCGTAATGCCAAAGATACAAGGGAGAGTTTTCAGGCTTTTTAGTAATGTTGGTGGTATAAAAGTAATAGAACGAATAAAGCCTTTTAATACTACTAAAATCTTAAATCTATTCTCAGATGATATTGATTTTGTTATTGCTAGATTAAATGAATAAATAGTATCTACTGCTATATGTATTTATGTAACTCTGTTCCAAAACTTTGTCAGATATTATTGGTTTAGCTGTAACATTAATGTCACACTTCTCCCAATAAGATTTTGAATAAGAATCCATATGACTAAATTAGCCGATCATCTCGAACATGTGCATTTTATTCATAATAATTTTCAGGCTATTTGACTAAAAAAAAAATTCAAAAACTGATTGGCTTGTAAGTCAATCTATAACTTATCTCATGATTTGAGTTGTGAGAAGGTTACGAGAAAGTGCTAGGAACTGACTGAGAGTCAGGATGATACAAATTTTTATGTTATATATCAAATGCAATACCTCTGGCTAATCCTTATTAATTATAAGAGATCTATAAACTGAAAGTGACGGAAGAGCATTAGAAACTGACGAGATGCTAAAAAGGAGCCAGATATACCGTAATACAATAATGATCAAAAATAAAAAATAATTTTTATTTACTAACATGTAGTCTCACAAATCAGCTACTAATTATCTAATTGCTAATCAGTAAATCTGTATAAATTTAAACGATGATATTTTATAGTATATGTTACTCAAGAATAGCTCGAATTTGCTAAAAATACTATAAATCAATAAAATCAGTATATTTTGCTAAATATGACAGTTATTACCTTGACAAGCACTACTAATATTAATATGATTATTGATAAAAAAGAATGGCAGTTTCCTAAGCCTATCAGTAACCATCCTGAATATGATATAAAATATTATAGAACATATGGAGTGTTTCTAGGAAAATCAGGTTCTGACAAATTTTTGACTAAAATTTAGAGCTTAATACATTTTAATCTAATAACATCAAAAACTAAAATATAATAAAAATCTCAATTTTGCTAAAAAATTCCCAGAACCTGATTTTCCTAGTAATCAACCTATATCTCAAAAATTACTAGATTTCAAAAAATTTCTTGCTAATGAAAAAATCTATGATAAATTATCAATAATAAGAAAAGGAGAGTCTCCAGTGCAGTGGGGATTATGAGTTAAAAATACTCTCCAATATTTATTATCACGAAATGAAAATAGTATATACCATAGTTTCTGCTTGTTTGCAGGATTTGGTGAAGACAAATTTGACGAATCATATCATTCTTATTATCATCCTAAAATCCATAAAAATAATATGACAATCTGCTTTCATTGCTGGAAACTATTTCAAGTTAATGAAATAAAACCAACCAAATCATATTATCATGGATGGCATAAATTCATTGAATTGATTGAAACTAAAGATATGATGCAGGGACATTGAAACCAAAAATGTTCTGATCCTTTAAGTAATCTTGGACATGCAAAAGTTAAGCAAAAGCTTTTGAGCTATGCTCGTCGACTCTAAACATACTATTTATCTCATCTCTATATGCAAAACAAAATAACTTATTATCATTCACAAAACATCTTAATCAGCCAAAAGATACTACAATAAGATTGAGAGATGGAATAAAAATCATGATTGTTTAACTGTTTTGACTGACTGATTCTGAATAATGTTTTAATTATAGATTATTACTTTTGACTAAATAATATCTGAACTATATTCATAACTTATGTTTGTTTTACATTATATAATTTGCATGCATGATCACCTAGTATAATTATAAAATGTACTACTTGCAAGATAAAAAAATTTGATTTGTCTATTCTGGATTAGATCCTCCAATATACTGTATAATGAAATTTTTTTTAAGAAGATCAATGAAGCGATCTTGAGGATTCTTGATTCCTAAATACTATTATAATTATGGCTTTGAAATTTCTATACAACAGTTATCTCTTGAGATAATATAAGATCAGTTGTAGTAGATTCCTTCTAATAACATCTTTTTTGATCTTATAAATATACAATGACTAGTATAGATCAGTTGTTCGATGTTTATGATTCCCTTCTAACTTATTTAGTTTCAATAAATATTTAACCACTATACCTTTCTTTAACTTTATCTTTTCA